ACATGTATCAAGTTCTTCAAAGATGGCAAAATCATCTTCAAGTACAACTAGAGGAAATCTTTGTAAACGAAATTTTTATCGGATCGGACAAGTCTATACCATGAAAAAGTTGTCCATTTTGAAGCCTGTTTCAAGCATCGCAGTTTTTACAACTCTTTTCAATCTATAGCCTGCTGTCATGTCGGTATCGAATTAGACTGATCAGAACTGTTATGCAAAGAAAGACTATACAGTTTCTATTAGTATTATGACTGTGAGATATAAAAAACCCATGTTTTTCCTTAGACTAGTCACCACAGAGACTTTTATTTCTAGAAATAAACAATATATACGACTGCTTTTGCGTGTATCTTATTTTCAATTGTCTTGTTTTTCAAAATATCCAAATTTCATATCATACCATGACTTAGAGAACCGACTGACATGTAAATGTTTAGTGTCTGTGCTGATAAAATCTATCACTCTCATAATCAGACTTATAAAATCATGGATAATATTCGTATCCAAAAACGTAATCGCCATTGTGATGCGAAGCGAAGAATTTCTAGGGCGTGGGTGTGACTTTAGATCAGAAGAAAAGGAGAACAATAACTTTCTTAATTTTCACAATGCTTTCTTCGCATCCGTTTATATGCTATTTAACAAAAAGAAAAGTTCCTTTCTTCACGAATGATACTAATATATTATTCAACGTATCTAAATAATTTACTTTATGGTGAAGATTGATATTGAAATATTTGTAGATTTTTTTTTTCTAAAAAACCAATAACAAGATTAAATTGATATTCTAATTTGTGAGTTAGTTGTAAATGAAGATTAGAGAAAAAAAGTTTTTCTCTAGTTGTTTATAAACTGTGGGGTGTTCATCCGACCTGAATTGACACCTTTTTTCTGTTTTTTTTCTCTGTCGTTGTTGAGGAAAATGATGGTATTGTCGACAAGTTTATTTTCAATCGGAAAAGAGATTTAGTTTTGACGAAATGGAAAAAAAAAATATATTAAGTAAAAAACAGCGAGACAACTACATGTTTTCTTTTTCAAAATAAAAAAAAACAAACTCAAATAATATTTTCTTTCATTTATTTTTAGCAGATCATTTCAACAAAAATCTTTTATTTAACAAAAAATCTTTTTAAAAAAATCCGAATGTCTTTATCAATTTGATTTAATTCATTCATTGTTGCATTTCCATATTCTCGAATTATTTTACCATCTTGTTTAACTGTTGTATGATGTTTATCTCCACATATTTTACTTACTGTTTCAGTTTTGTATATTTTCATTTTGATTTAATGATTATTGAATTTGTTTTTCAATAACACATCTTTCCAATTATGTGGTTTCTCGTTTCATTGTTGTTATTATAACAGTTCTTGGAAATGCTTCATTAAGATCATGTTTTTCTATAGTAGAGTCAAGATTTTCATCACCATGATGACTATCTACAAAAGATATTAATTTAAGAAAATTCGTTTTTAGAATAGGTTTTCATTTTGTGGAACTCACATATATTTTCGAAGAAAATAGTGAGTGTAAGTTTTAAGGTCAAGTTTTTGCGGCTCCCCCCCCC